TACTGTATTCTATATCAATCTCTCATAGGCTAAATCCTGTATAGTTCACGTCATAAAGATAATATTAATCTGCAAGTATACACATTGGTAACACATTTACTTAGTGTAAAATTTAAGCTGAAAAACTTATTATAGTCTGCCAAAAATTCCTGTTAGTAAACAATGTCAGTCATAAGAGAGTTTTTACCAATGAACATTTTAAATATTAAACATGACATTTTGTGAATAAGACCATAAATATTTAATTATATAGAATAATGTAAAACAGAACCAGAAATATTAACAAAGAACCATATGTGGGATTGTTTATAACTTGAATGTTGAATAAATTTTAAACCATTTGCTATTTTTTAATTTCAGAAACCATGAATTTGATTTTATGTTTATCACAATTTTTTTAAATAAAGATTTTGTTTAAAATTATTAAAATAGTAAAAATGACGGAAATAATTTGGATCAAAATAGTAAAAAATCGTATCAGTAGCTAACTATACTCGCATAAATTGGGCTAAATGCTACAATTCTTGTTAGCTCGAACTGACACTCAATTATAATATAGTATTTACATGTCAATGGCGACTCAAAATTAAAGGGTTAAAGTAGTTAATACAGCTTGATGTATAGCAATTTCAGTGTCAGCAGTATCATCATCAAAACCTACTATAACATAGAACATCAATAATGTTTAAATGCTTTAATTAAAACATCAATACTATTGAATAAACAAATCCTGCATCAGTAATACTTTCAGTTATTCAACCTACTCCTCAGGACCAGCTTTTATTATTTGTAATATGAGGTAACGGTTCCAAACTGTTATGTAAATTACACTATTTTTTACCCTTGGTTCATAAAAGACTGGTTTGGCTAACGAACTAACGGTCCATTTGAAAGCTAGTGGTCAATGCAGCCAATGGACGCCTGGAATGAACCTCAGGCTATTATACGAGTATGGTGTTATTTCTGGTGGCCAAGCTAACCTGGCATGAACTTGTAATTATACTTTAAGGGATACCATCACTCTAAAATACAGTTTTGGGTTGGTCCTGGTAACATTTCTGTTGACAGTCACTCCACTTATAATAAGTTAACATTTATTACACATTCAACATCAATTACATTTATTACATTAAACATCAATTACATTAAACATCAATTATACGACATAAATTACTTTTGAGTTATCATTTTTTTTTTTCAAAAAAATTAACTTGTCTATATGAATAATCTTTCAGCTACCTTTTCCGTGTTAGATTTGAGGACCGGCCTGCAGCACAGGTGCTATCGCAAATGCTGAAGAAAGTCGAGCAAATTTGTCAAATGATATACTTTTAAATCAGACATAGATATGCGTAGTCCGTGGTGCATTAAAAGGCGCACATACCTTTTATTTGTTCCTGTCCTGGCCGATCCTGGTTAAGCGATCATGGCAAGTGGAAAAACTATCGATATTTTTAAAAGGTAGCGATATATCATCATGTTTTGCATAATGTAGTAGGATGAGGGGCAAAATTTTCTTACTGGACGCGTGGATGCAAAAAATCCTACGAGTAGTTAAATATCGCGATTAATAATATCGATATTTCAAAATTTTCTTACCGGACGTTTGGCCGATGAAATAGAACAACACATGAACGCTTTTGTAGTTGTTTATCTTTATATATATATATATATATATATATATATATATATATATATATATAAAATTAAATAGTACTATAAATAACACATGAACGCTTTTACAGTTGTTTGAAAATAAATATTTTGATGCGAGTTCGAAAATAAATATCAATATTTTTACCTAAGCTTAGGTTATAAATACAATATGAAAAAGAGAATATATATTTAATCAGAATATCATTCATGAGAAATACTATTTTAGTGATCTAATTTTTAAGTTTTAGTATCAGTCCACATAAAACGAAATACGTATCTCTTAAACATCTTTATGGGCTGATTTATAAAAAAAAATACAGAAACCAAAAAATTTTAAGTTACGGTTGCGTGAGTGAAACAGACAGTTTCACTTTCTGTTTTATTTCTATTCAGCCAGGATATAATTTATTTGATGAATAACTTTTTCTGATGATCGATATATTCGGCCCTAAGTTTAAATAAGAATCCTTTAAATAATTACGCAAGTACTTATTATTTTTGTTTCGTATATGATTCAAAAAATTCGTTAGAACATTAGCTTCTAGTAATAGTCAAAGTACTTTTATGAATCACTATTCCACCTATAGAACATAGATAATTAATAAATATATACACAGCAACTATTATTCAATATTTTAATAAAGTTTACCCTACATCACCGGTTTCAAGTCAAGTTCACGTACGCAATCCAAGTTTTACCGTCCAAAGAGCAGCACCATTCTCCGTACCTACATTTTAACTATTACAATTAGGATTACAGATTACACCCTAAACATTCATAGTTAACATTAAAATATGTGACATTTAGTAATTATAATATTAATATTTTTTTTTTCATTTTCCGAATTTAATGATTAGTAGAACCTGCATCCGTGAATACTTTTAAGTTACTCAGCCCATGTGTTTACACTTTTAGCACCAACCCACTTATATTTTAATAAACATTTATTACATATTATATGACATTATAAATGATAATGACGATAATTTTTAATATTTGTATAAGTTACAGCCTATATACGTCCCACTGCTGGGCACAGGCCTCCCCTCATTTCTGAGAGGGTTTTAGGGCAAAGAAGTGTCCGCCGCGCTGCCCCAATGCGTGATGGCGAACTTCACATGTCTTCGAAATATTTTTTCTCTTATTCCTCATACATGCAGGTTTCCTTACGATGTTTTCCTTCATCGCCGAGCACGTGGTAAATCAGCATTTAAAATTGCAATTAACAATTACATTGGTGCCGGCGGGAATCGAACCCGGGTTACTCGCGTTCTGTTATATTTACTGCGAGCGTTAACCATCTGAGATACCACGGCTCACAATTCATTCATTCATTCATTTGTATAATATTTGTTTATTTTCAATATAAGGGCTATCCCTTATCTTGGAACTTACTTATCCTATCTTACACATTCTTTAGAATCAATTCTCCCGCATCATAATGTGCGCAAATATAACATTTACATACTCCAAGTGAAGTTGTTTTTATAACTTTACATATTTTCACTGACTGACTAAACTCTTCTGTGAACGACTCGATGTTTAATATTTCATTCTTACCAGCATCATTACCAGCATAACATCCATTAATATTTGATCGCAACTGTTATTATACTTTCTATTACCTTTCCACCACCTTATTGACGTCTACCTCTATTGGTAGTAACAGCTAGTTTTGCCAGGTGTCCCGATTTGCGCGGGACGTCCTGATTTTCAGGGGTCTGGGGACGCGTCCCGATTCGGACCTGGTCGGGACGCTAAATGTCACGACAAATCAAAAAATGAAAAAAAAAATCCAAACTCCTATGAAAAAATCATTTTAATAAAAAATTTACATAAATACTTATTTTATTCTTTTGAAGTGCGTTAATAAGTACGATTTTATTTTAAAATTTCTACTAGTCCAGCAAGACTAATTACTTGCTATGTAAGATTAAATATGTAAGTATTTAATTTAGGTAAATAATACTGTACTTGCAGTAGTAGTTTAAAACGCAATAAATTAAACCCTGATTTAAAAACACCTCGTTTTTCGTTTGTCCCGATCTGCAACCCTAAATCCCGATTTTTTGACCTCATGTACCGATTTAAAACAAATCGGACCTGGCACCACTAGTAACAGCTAATTAAATTTAATTATTTTTAATTATTAACTATAGATTTTTATTAAATATTAATGTCACTAATCCAACTGCGATAATCTGTAAGAGGTGCTCTATCCAGCAGTAGAATGGTGATGGGTTGTACTGATGACTGGGATATCAATTATTATTATTGAATATATGAATAACTTTTATAGGCATCTATTTTGAAACTTGGTTTACCTACTTTTTTTTAAATCTGTGTAATTGTGTATTATATTTACTCCCTTACATCTTAGGAATATTATTCCAATATATAGATATTACGCATAGTTTAATAGTAACATTTAGTGAAATTGCAAATTATAATAATCAAAACTTCTTTTTGTAATGACTCTTCACATCCATGTGGTTACCTTCTTTTTACACCATTCCACTTACATACTTACACTAACGTATAACATACATATTTTTTTTTATTTTTCCGTTTTATCGTTTACCTATAGACACAGAGTTCATAATCAGATTAAATACTTAAATATTAGATGTATTACATATGTATAAATACTCGTACAGATGTATTTTAATTTTAATTAATTATTTTGAAAAAGTCCCCTTTGGCATAAAAGCCATAAATAACCCTATGGACTTTTATTCAAGTTTAGGTCTAGGACGGATCCTGATTTCGTTACTCATCAATATATTTATAATTGATTTGGGCCGAAATTATATTCTACATAATTTTCAATAAGAGATACCTATAGCAAAAATAAATTTTGGACCTGCATTCAGCAGTAATAAGCATCAGAATTAGCTTACCATGGCACACGATGTTACTAAGAACTTATTTACTTAACTACAATTATTTTTGAGATTAGGTTCGTTAAAGTGGTGGAAATTGCATTAAGTAATACATTAATTTCGGATAAGTTATTTTTTGTTTTCCTTACCTCTCTTATTCAAATGTTGAGACTAGAACTCTTTGATTCAGAGATATTTCTTACAATTACTGAGTTAAACTTAGACACAGAGACTTATGTACATGTGCAGTAGAATATTATATACCTAAGTACTAATTTTAAAAACCCTGCAACGAGCAGTCGGAGAGAAGAATTAAAAATACAATTAGAAGGAGACCACAGGTGTGGAAATAAATTCTTATTTTGTTGGACCACGTAGAATGTATACAACACTTACGAGCTATTTATAACGAACTTATATGTACTTATATAAAGTACAATAAACATGATAGGTAACGTCTTTTAATTGGCTGGGAATCCGTTTATCAAATCCTCTAAATATTTTATACGTATTTTCAATGCCTTTACCATCTTTTCCAATTCATCATGAGAACTTTCGAGGTGATTCACACGTTCCTCATAATCAGCAAAGGAACTGTAAATGTCATTTACCGAGGAAACATCTCTGCGGGATCGATGCTTTTCACCTTCCTCATCTTCACCGCAACTATCGCAATCTGCCCAATAACGTAAATCCATTGATGGCAAATCATCGCATGAAATTAACCCATCTTGAATTTCTGGTAATAAGAAAACATTTTCACCAATAGTATCAATATTGTCTCCATTATCGCACAGAATTCTAGCTAAGCTCGTTTCCTTGATTTGTTTTAATTGTTGTGGTTTGAAGTTCGTAGGGTTTTCATACCAAAAACGATCCCCATCTCTTAAGCGCTGGAACTGTTCTATCAAAATGCATCTGAACAAGGGTCCAATTTTTCCTCCCTCTACTTGATCTTCTAATATACCCCCCTACAAATACGTCAATATTATGAACGGACCCATAGAGTTCCTCGAGCTTATCTCTGACATTTTTGTCTGATATTTCAGTTGCTAAATCGTCAAATGTGTTAACTTCGGTCATATTACAAAAGTCTCGAAATTTGGTATAAGGAGGTAAACCGTGGTCACGCCCTCTTTGGATATTAATCGCAGCCAGATCGAGAGCTACAGCATGTGCAGTATGGAACAACTGCTCAGTGAGTTCAGAATTGAGATTTTGCGTAGGAGTTTTTAATTTTGCAGGTGTTGTGAACATACCTCTCAGCAAAGGATCTACGCCTCCTTCGTCGACAAGCCTCCATGGAGAGAAAAAAGCGTAACGCAATAATAAATGGCCTTGAGGTATTGGCTCAAAGTTTTCGTCGTAGCGATGAAGAACGGGATTAATCATGGTATGACCGAATCTTAGAGCTGCCGTGGCGAAGACATTAGAAATAGACGGATTAATTTTGGAGTTATATCCTTTGTATTCGCCCAATTGTTGAACACCTTCGGGGCCAAGAACCAGCGGTAACCAGTGTTTGTAAGTAATGAATTGTATTTCGGCACCTACAATTTTGCGAGCTTCCTGATAAACTCTGTCGCCATCCCAAAATGGATTAATAGCTTTAAGCTTAGTAGCAATCCGATTGTGTTCTCGCATAAAAATTGTATGCATTGCTGCCAGTCCGATTTGTTCATTAGCCCTAATATCACCTGCTACAAAGCAATTGCGATTACTTTCTTCTAAATTACGTCTGCAGTCCATGCCATTAATACCAATTGTAGGCAACAATGGTTTTCGTCCTGGGAAAGTAGCCCCTACACGCAATAATCCACTGTCATTAGTTAAATCTCGCAAATCTTCGGCTACAGCTTTCTCAAAACCATATACTTGAGAAGCGTCAATAAAGGAAGTTAGTTGGTTTATTTGTTCTCTTGGTTGCAATTTTCCGAACAGCACGGAAGTCATTCCCGAACCACAAACTGAGCTTGTCCTTATGAAATCAATGCAACGACGGTTACTAATACGTGGATCCCCTTCGGGTACATCAATAGGAAAACATGGTGCAGCATAATCGCAAGTCTTCTTACAATCTACACCATCCCAGGTTTGTGAGCTCACCGATGGAAGCGCATGATCCAAATCATGATCTAACCATTGCCCCCACTGCATTACCATATGAGTGATTTCGATGTCTTGAGATATTTCTTTAGTGGAAATGATAGCGGTCGATACGAGCCGCGCACTCGGCAAAGTATAACCGTTATATGTAATGTTTTTATTCCAGCCAACTGGATGACTAAATCCATTTTCGTATATAGGAAAAAGTATTCTGCGAAAAGCACTTAAAGAAGTGCCCCAAGTAGGATGATCAAAGTTGTTACAGCTGCCATCTACACTTCGATATTTTATATGGAAGCACATGTCTGAACAGTCCTTCTCTTCCCTATGTGCCACGCAACCTGATAGGCGAGCAATGACTTCTAAATGTTGTGCCGAAACTACTTGTTCATAATTAAATGGATCAGCTGAAGTAATCTTTAGTCCTGATTGTATGAAACCTCTAACTTTCTCTAAAGTCCTTTCATATATTTCCGCAGCTCGTGCAACCTCTCTTGCAGGAGCGTTAGGAAATCGTGAGATCCTATACAAATCAAGCAAGTTGGCTTTGGAGTTATCGTTTTTAAATAATTGTTCCATAGTTCTAGAAATAGCTTGATCAACATCTCGTGTCGCTTCCGTCAAAGCTATATTGACATATTCGTCGCCTGGTAGAATGTGATCCTTAACTGTCAAAAATACCGAGACGGTGTCTCGGCCATATTCGTTAAAAGCTGAGCATTCATAGCGACCTGAATCGGTGATGGTGATATTGTTAATAATTAAGCTTCCAATTATCGAAATAGAAATTCTATCATTTGGCTCTATTCGTGATCCATCTTTTCTCCATTCTATTGTAGCTGGTGGTTCTGCATCCACTTCACAAGGCATTTGAACCGAAGTCTCCTTAAATGCATCTGTATCTTCCGGTTTTAAAATTATTTTAGGTGGTATGATTTGAGCTTCGTCTACTTTCAGAATTGCAGATATTTCAGTTAGTCCTTGCGAGTTTTCTGCTCTACAATGATATAATCCATCATCATCGGTCGTTACTTGAAGTATTGTTAAGTTTTCATTGTTATCGGAAAAAATGATGTTTTCGCTTGGTGGCAATACCATTGTATTCCTATACCATGTAATTACCGGTTTTGGTGCTCCTCTTGCTGTACATCTAAATTCAGCAGTTTCTCCTATAGTTACAACTTGATCTTGTGGAACAGTGATAAAGGCGGGAGCAACTGAAACAATAATATCAATGAAGAATTTTTAGTAAGAAATACCCTAAAACTATTTATTTATAAAACAAGTGACATCCGATCTTACAGTCCACCTGATGATAAGTGGCTTCTGTAGTCCATGGAAAACTACAAGTAATTAAAAAAAGAAGGCTTTGCCATGTACAACTAAAATTGTATAACCGAGTTGTTTCAAATTTAAATTCTAATTCATTTATTTGTCAGAATGTAGGTGTTCAATAAAGTATGATCTTATATCTAATGACCTATTTACATTCTACCTCTACATATTATGTTACATGTTTGTGGAAGAAAACAATGCAGTATTACTCATACACTGCTTTAAATCTGGGTACCTATTGTGGAAGGAGGAGTTCTACAAGCAAGTAGATGGTGTGGTAAAGGGCTCACCTGTATCTCCCATTGTTGCCGACATATTTGTGGCAGACTGAGGAGAAAGCCCTACTTGCTTTTCCCGCACAAGAGGCACATAGACGATTCTTTCACAATTCTACCATTTAATAAAGTAACTCCATTTTTAGACCATCATAACGCCATAAATTCTAAAATTCAGTCCACAACGGAGTTAGTGTCAAACAATTTTTTAGATGTGTTAGTAATTCGGAATCTTGATATCACTGTATGTGTCTTTTTCCTATACACAGTGTGGCTTAAAGCCACACTGTGTATAGAAAAAAGACACATACAGATAGATATTTGAATAGTGATTTACATCACCATCCTTCACAGTTAGCTACCGTGGGTAAATATTTGTTTCAGAGAGCACAAGGAATCTATGAATAAACACCTGGTCACCGAGCTCAAGCACGTCCAGCAAGTTTTGCATGACAACAAGCACCGGGTCCCGCGCCTACGTCACAGTGACCGAGTGATGCCGGCCACAGACGAGCGTGTGTCTGTTATACTGCCGTATGACAGAGGTGTCACTGAAAAGTGCTTCCATTAAAACATACTTCAAAGCGCTGAAAAAGATTAGTCAGATTTTACCATCAGTCAAGTGTAATGTGCTGCAAGATGCAGGATTGTGAATTGTGGTCTTTCTTACATAGGACAATCTAATTTATCAATAAAAACTCGCGTTAATGAACTCATAGCTGATGTGAAGAATCCACAAGTTTGCAGTCTGTGAACACGTACAAGATCTTCCCCGTCAATACATCAAATTTGATAGACCACGATTCCTTGCTAAAGGACATCGATTCTTTCCAAGGATGATTCGCGAGGCTATTGAAATCAAAAAAGATCCTAATTGAATAGAGAAAATGGCTGGGTGCTACCATCTGCTTGGGATCCTATAATTATTAAAATTAAATCTCAACCCAGGCATACAACTGCAAGATTTCAAGATACTAGCAGCCCTATTAATAAACACAGACTTGATCGAGATTAACTTTACTCGTAGTTTAAAGCTTAAAATATCTAATTTCAGTATTAATAAACATAGAGTAAGGAGAGAGTAAACTAATCCGAATCTACTCTCGGAATAAAAGTTACTTCTTGGCGGTACCTAGTTTAACGACTGAGTAAGCATAGACTAGTCGCGTATTTTGACATTTTGTAAAACTTTACGTTGTTAAATTCATAAGTTGTAAGCACTAGTAACAAAAACAGCATAATGGATTAAAATGCCAAGAAGTGATGTGGAGCCGAACAGTGATTGCAGGTTTTTTATTATTCATTCATTATATGAATTTAGCCAAGTGATTGGGGCTATTGATTGTCACATATTCTAATCCCGAAAGTCGCTCGAAACATCGGACAAGATGTAAAACCTCGAAATTATATTTTGTTTAAGTTATATGCATAAAAGAACAGATTACGACAGGAATTAGATAGTTGCATTGAGAAGATAAAGCTTTGCTAATTTTTTACCATAAAATAATGACTATTTATTATAATTATAATTATTCATTTTCAACAGGAAAGGATACAATTCAATAAATGTATAAGTAAGTTTTATAGCACCTAGCTAGCCCATCTTTTTCATATACGTACTTAGTTATTTTCGTAAATTCAATACAATCAGCTCAATTTATTATTTCATATTAATGACGTTATGAGTGCTTTGTTCCAGGTTGTGTCAAATGCAAATTTAGAGTTCATGAATTCAGTGGCATGGCACATTGGTAAGGCAGCACACATGACTCAAGAATATTTAATGAAAGTCGCATTAAAACAAACTTATGAGCAGTCAGAATTTAAAGGCAGACTTCTCGGAGTTTCTGGTTATGCTTGTACTCCTTATTTATTCACTCCTATCTTGCGTCCTAATAAACAAAAGGAAGGAATGTACAACTGGTCGCACATATGGGCCCTCAGTGGCGAAGCTAGGGCTCAAAACTAGGGCAAGCCTAAGATATGGTTTTGTTGTTTTTAGCAGTTTAATAAAAATACACCAATCTTGAGCTGTCTCCACTCTTTAGTTTCATATTCAGTGCTGACAAGGACGTTTTTAACAAAGCACACAGAAAACATACTACCGCTAGATAGATTGTATGACATAATATGCAATTGCACACCTTCGGTGGTTTTGAAAAGAGCCGTTTGGGTTTGCTTGAGATATTTACAAACAATACAATACATGAACAAAGTACAAACAAACTATGTACAAAGTTAAGAAAGGGACGGCTGGCAGATGTAAAACCTCGAAATTATATTTTGTTTAAGTTATATGCATAAAAGAACAGATTACGACAGGAATTAGATAGTTATAATGAGAAGATAAAGCTTTGCTAATTTTTTACCATAAAATAATGACTATTTATTATAATTATAATTATTCATTTTCAATTCAATAATAAACCGTACAAAATGATATTTTTAAACTCATCATAGCACTATAAATTAGCCGATAGCGTGTTTGTGCCATCTAGCGTAATCTTTAGGTATAATCAAGACGTCATAGTAGAGAAAACAAAAGAATCAACCAATGTTTCCGTTCCAAATAAATATTACTTTACCTATCAGAATTTAAAAAGTAGAATGAAAAAGCATACGAGGGGCCCGCAACCACTTCGCTAGTCGCTAACGCACTCCTAAACAACTTCATGGCAAAGCCAGGCTTGTTGGCTCAATAGTAATTGCTATATAAACATTTCGTAGCTATATTTCATTATAGAATATTTTGCCATAGGTTAGAAAGAGAGCGATCGTCTTCTCGAAAGCCCCGTAAAAAGCCCACGCGAGCGAGGGAGACAACTAATTGCTCTATTAAAACTCACTTTATAACAGCAACAGTATCGCCACAGAGTACCTTTGTATAAACGTATCGCTAAGGCAATACGAGGTCATCGGTCGACATGTGTCCAACAGTGGAGTGCGCGGGAAAATTGAAATAATTTTAAACAGTTTAGGAGTTATTTTATTAGTTGATATTATTGATTGATTCAGTTTTAATAAGGCAAGCCCGGCCTTTCGGCTTTAATGGAAGCTTTGCCACTGTGGGCCCTATTTATCCCCAAGAAACAAAACAAAAATGTTGAATAAATCATTATGAAAACAAAAATGGTTATTTAAATAATTTTGCCCTTCACGCTCTTTTCTTAATTCTAAAATTTCGTTACAAATAATATTAAAATGATTATATTTAGAACTTAGTTTTTGCACCGAGTCCGAAAACAACACGAGGAACAAGGAACAACACGTAACACTTATCTCTTGTCAAACTCAAAATACTGCCTGTCACTGTCATTAATGTCATCATCAAGCATTGAGTTCATTCACTAATCATTCACTGACTCAGTCTTTTTACTTTTAAAATATGTGGGTTGCCATAGCGCAAGCGGTAATCCCGGCGTAAGGAATGTAGGTATAGTTAGTCCGAGGTTACTCCATGTTTATTATTAACATTGTAATAACGAAGTAAATAGTCAGTTACTCTGAGATTTGCTAGTCCAAGTGTAACTTCGAATTAAGCTTGGAATAAGCAATTTTTATTAATAAGACAGTATAAGTTCATACTGCGTAGACGGAACAAAAATTAATAGTTTTAATCTGGAGGTAGCCGTGGTTTACTATGACATTGGGACGTCGAACAGTCGAACACCTCAGTTCTCCCGGTGACCATGGGTGTTGTAAAATGCGTGAAAGATCGGAAATATAAAATAAGTTAATATACGCGACAAAATCCGTAGAAACTTGTATTATAAAAATGTGTAGGGTCCGCGTAAGTAAGTAGTAAGAAATCATTAATTGTACTTAATTGTTAATGTTCCTTCCATGGTTATTTACCATAAATTAATTATTAGTTATATACCAATATTACTGATATAAAATTTATTTTTCACAATAAGACAAAAAATTATGAGGTCGTAAAACATTTTTCTTTTAACCATTGTCAATCCTTTATACGACCAATATATAATATACGACTAATATCTTATATACGACCAATATTATCCAGATCCTAGAAACTAGCGAATATGCAGACTGCACCAAAAAGGTAGCCGTGTCGACGCCGCAAACTATCGCAAGATTGTATTGTATTTTACTGTATTGTATATTGGTACTATGTATATTGAACATCCATCTCATCGTATGGATTTCGCTAAAATCGGTCAACAAATAAAATTCTCTTATATGAAACGATGCCCTCGAAGACATTGAGAAAGCACATACTGTTTCCCTTAATGTCTTGAGGGCCTTTGTAAAGGGTTGGTACGCTAGCTTTTTTGTCAAACTTCCAGCGTATGGTTAATCCCGTGGTCTGACCGAGAAGGCCTTTCTGAGTGGTCTGCCTCTCTGAGTCGTCGTTGAGGGCTGTTCGTTCGAGCTCTCTTCCTGCTGCGTATTATTTGCTCATGCCCGGTATCTATGGGTATACAGACGACAGTATAGTTGTAGAAAGACACCAGCATAATGGTTGGGCCAGTCGGGATCAAATCCAGCCAGAAAGAGAAACTATGGTTGTTTATGTAGTACAAAGCCAAAGCTGCCGCAAGGAAAATAGGTGCCCTTGCAAATGTGCGGTAGTACATAACGCCAGGAATTTTTACCCTTAATAAGTTTGTAAGTCCGTTTATCCATGGAGTACTGTACTGACATGTACTTCATGAATGAACGGACTTACAACTAACGTAATCCATGAATATTTATGTTTTTTAGTAACCTAGATTTAGTTAGGATGAATTTTGTCAGCCTCGTGAACAGACGCTTACCAGTCTCTCGGTGCTCTATAGGATACATGTAGAAGTGTGCGCAGAAATTACACGATTAGTTGAAATATCGAGAACAAAGGGGTAACCCCTTTTTTGTCGATTTTCCACAAATTCTAACCAAATTACAATTGCCGGCGTCTGTTTTACCATCTGATCATGACCTTGGTGTCTTCAAAGTAAGAGGGCTTTTGTTATGCTAAGGTATTGGAATTTATCACATTGTGTTTCGTATGGTGAGTGTAGAGAACAGGAGACCCTTTTGACTGGAAACAGGGCATTCCATCTTAGTCCTCACGGGTGACAAAGCATCTGCATTTTGATTCAAAATCGAGTATTGATGTAGATGTCTATGGGCCACAGCAACTACTTACTCACGATCAGGTGGAGTGTGTGCTCGTTTGTCATCCTTATACTTGGTTTATAATAAGTAAGAAAAATCTTACCCATAACTTCAAGAACCGCTTCAGCTGTAATTTTTCCGTTTAGATTTTCGGCATGGCAAGTATATTGTCCTGCATCCGTTTGTTGTATTTTTTCAATTACAATTGATCCGTTGTGATGCATCGTTATGCGGTCAGTCAACAAAATTCTTGCTCGGTTGAAGTACCATAGTATATGAGGTGCAGGATTTCCTTTAGCAACACAGTCAAATCTGACAATTTCGTTCAGTCTAGTAATTTGATCGCGTGGTAGAATAGTAAATACAGGATAACCTATAAAATAAATAAGAATTAGTGATTGCATTAACAAGGTGCGCAAATTGAATAAATTTTTGTGTAATCTCAAACTACCATTTTCGTCCGGTTTGCTATGCATGATCATCTTTGCCGGTTTCGACCGTACTTCTCCTGCAGGATTTTTCGCTTTACATTCAAATATTCCTACGTCGTTCTCATCAGCGGCATGTACCATAAGTGTACCGTTATCCATGACTACATAGCGATGTGTATCAAGCGGCACGCTAGTAGAATCTCGCAACCACTCAATTTCTGGAGTTGGCTCTCCAGATACTACACAGGTAAACATGGCATCATCGCCGAAGTTCACTACTACGTCTTGAGGGTCTTTCATGATTTCCGGTCGTTCTGAATTTTAAAAGCATCATCAATGGTTAAATTAAAAAAAATTGGCAATGCAATAACAAACTTAAATCAATGACAATTTCATTATACATTAGTTGCAATGGTGGTAAGTATTGGCGGCGTAAGAGATTCCACTACCCCATAGCGACCCGTTGATTACGTAAAAGGCGATAGAGGCAAATATAACAAGCGATGGGCAGCTGCATCAAAAATGTGATTGCCAATGCACATGACAAGCGTGGCATCTATGGCTAAAATCCTCCCATAAGGTAATCTACAGGGAAGCCTGTATTCTGCAGTGGATTTTGATAAGCTGTATGATGATGATAACGGTCGCGTGGTGGCGACTTAAGAAAGATGATAATTTCTGCGCGTTTCCTTGATATATAATAGACAGTATAATCATCTCGTACATAATATTTGAAGTGAAATGCCAAGACCGGCTTTGGGGTTCAATCTTTCCCCTCCCCTTATGAGTTTTGATGAGATTTTTGACAGGCCAATGAAAGCTACTTACTTATCCTCGGTCACAACGTTTAGGTAACATAGTACCATAAACTAATTGCACATAGCCAAGTAGGTGGGTGGTCTGAAAAGATTTCGACCTAACAAAGATACAAGACATATTTTCTTAAAATATGTCTTGTATGAATCGATGCTCCCATCTCCCTAACCCGTCCAAATAGCACTGGCGTTTTTCTCTGCAAAATAATTGTTCATGACGGTGATTGCCTCCTCATTTGACGAAAATCTCTGTCCTCCGAGCGCAATTTTTAGATGAGGAATCAAAAAGAAGTTGCTTGGGGTTAGTTCTGGTAAGGCGGATGGTCAAGCAGTTCAACTTCATTCAATCGTAATATGTTGATTTTCGCCATGGCAACCGCTGAGGTGTGAGACGGCACGTTGTCATGGTAAAACAGGATTTTCATTTTCTGCAAATGTGGCCGCAATTTTCCGCAATTCGCCTTCAGTTTGTCAAGTAATCACGCGTAGTATGCTCCTCTAATAGTTTTTCTTTTTTGAAGATAAATGATTAAGATAACTCTATCGACTATAACTAGTCGTATATGTATTAAAATTTAAACGATTTTTTAATGATAATCTTGAACATTAATCAAAAGTCTAAAATGTGTACATTTATTTAGTCTGTCAACACAGCGAATCGGGTTTGGCGATGCCAAACCTCGTACAAAATAAATTTGACAGCCATTCTATTGTGTATTATAGTATTCTATGATTATTACTGTGTTGTGTATCTTATACTTGTTTTATTTTACATTTTAGGAAAATATGCCATTTAAATTGTGGAAACCTTAGAGAAAGGTAATATCAATTTTTCAGTGTACCAATTTGTGGGAATCAAAAGGCGTTTTAAGATGACAAAAAAAGCGATTAGATGCTAACAAATTAATCAAGAATAAAAATTGTATGCCTTTACACAGTTGGACCCCTTCACGGAGTCGTGTGAAAGGGCTATCTAGGTATATCGTCATTTGAAGAAGCAGAAAGAGAACTAGACTACTTAACAGAAGCGACACCGACATCGATGATGAGATAAAAAGACAAAACACTACAGTACAAGTAATACCAACTATGAAAACAATGTTTAATGTTTTTGCTACAGAACCTTTTTTGTAAGACGTCGACGGGATTGTCGCTTGACTGTTGTTTATCTGATTTATTAAATTATTTCTATATTATTCAGTATCATTTTTATTTCGTTGACAATTATATATATATATATATATATATATATATATATATATATATATATATACTTTTTAATACTTCTTCTGACTAATATTTTCCTTTTTTCCACATATTGATAACAAATTAATTTGTTCACTAGCACAATATATCAAACACGCAATTGAATATGCAAAATAGGCGATATTCTATCACTTATACAGACTTAATCTGTACTATAGCTGTTATTTTTTTTTAGTTTTATATCACTTTCACAGACAGAAGTTATAAAACTATTGTATTTACAGGAGTGTACAATTAGGACATAAGAACAAGTTTTAGAAGGGAGTTTGCATACACCATTGTTCAGAAATAATATTTGAATGATACTATAATAATACTTAGAGCTGTAATAAGCAAGTGATCGCATGCATAAAATAGCTTCTATAAAGCTTTAATGATAAAGTCAGATTATAGTGTTACAAAATACTTATAGTTGTATAGTAATGTTTTCATATTCTGGTTAAGAACCCTAAGCTTACTTAGATCCCAAAATAGCTTGAGCTCTATAGTAACTCATAAACCACTCTTATAAGTATACAATCTCTTGTCGACACTCTTATACGTCTCTAAGAGAACTCTAAGTTCTATGTGAGCTGGTGTATTGATGTTTATAACACTTGTGTGCTGCTTGGGGTTTTTGGTCTAACGTGAGCAAACATGGTACCCAATGTGCTGATAGCTATCTCATGCCTAAATCACAACTTAATATGTGACAAACGCATTCTTTAGACATTTTCATGACCTCTGCTATCTCTCTCACTTTAATTCGCGGTCGTCTAGCACCATTGGTGAACTTTAGCGATGTTATTGTCAGTAGTTGTAGTTTTTGGACGTCCCGAACGTTTATCGTCCCGTAAGCTCTCACGGCCACGTTTAAATACAGCTGCCCGAAATTTCACTTTGTTAAATGATGGTTCAGTGTACGTATAGGCTTTGAAAAACAAAAAAAAATATGACAGCTTCATACAATTTTTTTCCATTTTCACAATAACACTCACATTGACTAACTCAAACAATTGTCAACAAAATAAATAACAAATGGTTGAAATTTTGGCGCGTAACTGTCAAAAGATACACAGCTACATTCACTTGCTTTTATTGACGAATGCTGCCATCTTCACGTTGAGGTCGAAAGCTTTTCAGACCATCCTGGCATCTAAACCCGGCATGTGTTATGAAAACATTGCTTTATTAATTTTCTTAAATTACAATTAAATATATTTTGCGGGTTGGTGGCTCTACTAAAGGGAGTGACGACCTGCACACGATATGTCTCAACATGCAGGAAGTCGGTGGATGCAGGTGGCGCCGGACCGTGTTTTGTGATGATTTTGTTATGTTCAGCAGTGAACTTGCAAAGGTCTGTAACGATGTTGATAATGAGGATAAAAAATCTTTAATTCTTCCCATGACTATCACACAAGGCGACTTAGCGAAATGCCTGAGGGATCATGTTCGTAATATAATAATCTCCTTAATTATAGCAGTTATAAAACTACTGACCGACAACGAAAAGCAGTGTTATAAGTACGAGGGAATGGATACTAATCAGCTTTTTTGTTGGAACCTTTAGACACATGATAAGCGTAAGTACTTTATAAGTTCGCATTTTAAAATGTTTAGGGATAATTTTTCAATCACCTTAATAAGTTATTTACACGATGAAATAATGCATAAACAAATTAAATACTACAGACGTATGAATAACATAGTTCCATAGTGTCACTTTTATAATCAGGTAATAATTTATTTGATGTAAGTGTAACATTTATCTATCGGAACGAAAAATCAGTCCTTAGTTGTTTATCGTTTTTAGTAACTTTCTTCATTAAATATCAAAAAATTTACAAATAATGACCAACATGTGGATGAAAACGTAAGCGTTTAATTGTTATTGTATCAACTCACGACAGTGGAAATCGTGCTCCTTCATAGTGGCTAAAGAGGCGCCGGTAGCACTTGCTGGCTCATAACAAGTTGCTGCAATCTCCATGGCACGGTGTTCCGATAGCATGCGGACAAACCAAAGCATCGAACAATCGCAAATTAGAGCATTGCTGTCTAAACGTAGCTTGCGTAGGTTCGCCAAGCCTCGGAATGAGCCAGGCGGGATTCTCTTCAAGTGATTGTTGTGTAAATACCTGAAACAAATATTTAATGAATAAGAGCTTATATTCAGATGCCTTAACATAAACACATCAAACAGAATCTAGGAATGTTTTATATTTCATCAAATATTTAAAAATCTATAAAAATGTTCTGATATAGTAAATGGAAGAAAGGTTATTTTAAGATATTTAATAAAAAATTAAAAACATTTCGCAATTTTCTTTGTTTTAAATTAAAATGTTTATTTTTTAATCGCCGTAGAAAAATCAGTATGATAAAATTTTTTATTCCTTCTTATAAAACTATTAATTTTTTATTAAAATTGAAAATATCTTACAAAATTTAATGAACCAGGGAATGGACAAGACAAAGTTCACTAGGCCTTACACTAGTGGGGCAGCACGGAAGAGGGACAGGAGGCTGATAGCAGCTGAGATAGGAGCCGAAGAGGCCTTCTCTCTTTGCAAGAAGCCCTGGGATGAGATTCCTTTGTCCAAACCTCCCCGGGTTCCGAAGGCGAAAAGACGCAGTCAGTTTGAGGAGGATCCCCCTAAGACCAGACCAGGAAATCTGTGAAGCTGGCAACAGGGGAGAAGAAGCCCAGATTCAGTGGCGTAGCTAGCTCCGCGCGTGTAGGAATTCGCAATTCGAGTCCTATGAGCGTGGAGTAGATGCGGCTATTCCACCGGGCTAACACAGGCTATCGCTAAAAGGACCTGTAGAGTTATGCTAATCAACTTGTGATCATTAGGAGGGACTTTTGGCAAAGTACTTTATCATTAATCAAAGAAAGAGCCCTAACCATCATAAATAACTGGTGTAAGTTATCCCTACACCACCAGTTTATCAGTTAATGTTGGTAAAACTGTTATAAGTACCCTTTACCAAAAAGAGACGGTTGGACAAATTAGTCACACCAAAACTTACTTTTTTGGCCAAAACGCACTTTGAAGTAGACTGCGGCGCTCATACGCTAAAACTATTGATTTTACTAAACAAATTTATTGCATAGGAAATTTTCTGTAGTTTAATTTATTATAAAATGTTTTTTCGTAAAATGAGTCGGATATTATAGTCCAAAAAATGCTTTTTTTGCCTTCAATATGTACGCGAGTTGGAAATAATACGAGTGGCAAAGTGTAAATCGAAAAGAGCACATCAAAATCTATGAAATCACAAATTTTCAAAACTTCCGGAAAATTTTCCAGATAAGCTCTATTGTCGGCACTAAATAACTGTACTATTAGTCAGGTTATAGTTTATTCGATGACTAACTTTGTTCTGACGATTGAATAATAGCCCTAAATTAGATACCTATTTCTTGTGTAATGTTTCACTTACAATCTCTCAAGTCGTGGCAGGTGTGAGAAGGTTTCAGGCTCGATTTGGTGTATTTCGTTGACGTGTAAATATCTGAAAACAAAGCAGTGATTAGTATATTGGTATATTAAAAACAATGTAAATAATAAGCGTGTTGTCCCAGATATGTGACAGAACTAATTTTCTAGTAATTTTGGAGTACGTCTGGGTGAACACCACTCTCTTAACTTATTCTATTGTCACAAACATTGCTGCGTACAATGCTGTGTTTTGTCTGAAGGTTTTAGAGAGGCAGTATTATTGTAGGTTGAGAGGCAGTATCTTTTTCTAATGTTTAATGTAATAATAATTTCTAATTCTAATTCTTTGTTTAACGAATGTTGCAGGTGTCCAAGCGCTGCAGTAGCCACTTTTCATTACGTGGACTGTTGGTTCGCTTCTTACTTTAACTTTGTAAAAAATTCCAAAAATAAAACATAAACAAGTGAAATGCTTGTGAAACGGGCCGGTATGCGGACGGAGAGTCCGCAGGGCGCCCCGGCTTCCGAATAAGGACCAGCTTCCCCGTCTTCCAACGAAGCGGGAATTGGCCTCTCTCCAAGCATGCGCTTAGGAGCCCCTCCAGTCGGGGCCCGAGAGCCTCCGAGGCCAGGACCCAGGCTTTACCAGGCAATCCATCGGGTCCTGGGGCGGTATTCCTGGCCTTGAGCCTACGTACCGCCACTCTCAGGTCTACCCCTTCTCTAATTATTTAAAGGAATTAAAAAACTTATGACGTTTTTGAAATATCACGAATTTGAGCTGTATTTACCAGCAACAGCTATCAGTTAGTAATTACTTTTTAGATAAAATTTGTAAAATACGAATTCAGACATCTCTTTCAGTTTGCGGGAATAATATCTGTGATGAATGAAGTTATTTCAATTCTGAGAATTCATTGAAGTCTTTTTCGTCAACATGGATACGTTGAAATTCCAGTAATTGTGGAATACGAGTATCGTCATGTCAGCAACGCGGCACAAGCGGCATGCAACATCAGCGACGTTTACGGAGCGAATACTGCAAACGAACGCACCATCTGTTATTTTTTCCCCGCTTCCGTTCTGGAAATTTCGACCCGAAAAATTAACCCCGTGGTCGTTTGAAAACTTTGATCGACAATGACGAATTAAGCGACGATTGTGGAAGCTGATGATAATTTATCTACGGCTGAACGAGCAGCAGCTTTCGACGTTAGCATCAAAACAATATTGGTCTATTTACCTCAAATATTCAAGGTAATAAAGCATTACGCCAACGCGCACTGTTAAACAGGTACACAAACGAAGGAATTCTGAACCTGTATATAGAATAGATTCTTTTTGACAATCGCAAGTGATCAGCAAGTTGGTTGGATCCTGGTTGAGCACCTAAGCAATACTATAAACGAAAACTTAACCCTACTGCGTGATGATCGCTGTTTGGTAGTATAGCGCCGATGTGATTCATCACAGCTTCTCACCAATCGAGGTGAGCATTACTGCAGTATTACTGTGAAGAACTGAATACAATGATGGAGAAGATCGCACGTCTCCAACCAGATTTGGTCAATCACTCATCCCCGCTGCTTCTGCACGATAACACGCGATCTCATACTGCACAACAGGCGGTCTCCAAGTTACAACGGGCTGGTGTTGGGAGCTCTCCGTCATCCGCCGTACTCAACATACTTTGCGCCTACAGGCTTCTACTTTTTCCTGAAATTAAATATCTTTTTGGCGGGAACAAAATAATATATACAATACCAATATATATACCCGAGAGGCGGTACGAAATGCCTTTGAAGAATTTGTTGCCATTGTAAAGCCTTTCTTCAAGAAAGGAATCAAAAAACTGCCACTGCGTTTGCAAAGATGCATCGATTGCATGGGTGATTACTTTGTAATCATTCATCATCAATTAATATAAATAAAAAGTAAGGAAAAAATTACATTAACTTATTTCATAAAAATGGCAATTTCATAGGTAAAGCCCTAATATTAATAATACTAATGCATCTGTTTGTTCTTATATCCGTAGCATAACACTGAGCAAATATAATATGTAAGTATAATGTTTGATTAGTGTCATGGACATGACCCGTCGTATATTAACATGTATAAATACGAATAATATTTTAGTGTAAATGGTTTTGTCAGCCGAATTTTTGTATACGGACAACAATTACGCCCACTTTTAAAAAAAATTAAATAAACAATATAAAGATTAAGACTTAAGCGGATTTAAATTTAACTCTTTCAGTGTTTCGCTTCATTATTTTGTTGCCAAGGAGTATTAAAATCTGCTAAAATAGTTAACTATTCCTGTAGATGTCCTATTATGTACCTTAAAGAAGAGAAAATATTGTAGAATTGATACATTATTCTTTTTAAATGTAATTAACAGAGGCCCCTGGTGATATTTTAACCCGGACGGAACATCGCTTCAGGGACTAACGTATTAAGTGAAACTGAAACTAACGAGGTCGTAAAGCACACATTTCCCCTTTCCCGTAGGTATAACACGTTTGACGTAGTGTTTGTCTTTAAAAACATTCCGTGAAATAATTAGAATTTAAACCCAACTTAAAAAAAGGGTTTTCGGTAATGTTAAACATATGTAGCCATGCTGCGGCTATATTATTGTAGTAACCGGAATTAGTTAGCTCGAATCGGCTCGTATGGTGATTTTAGGGATCCGAAGACCCTTTTTTTTAATTTTAATCCTCAGTGTGCTAATAACCCGTGATACATTCTTCCTGTGGTTATGTAGTAATTGGACTAAGGGAGGCGCTAGAAATGACGAAGATCCAAAATAGCTTCAAGCTAATAGCCAAGGCAATAGCCTCAGATCTCAGAGCTACCAGGTACCAGTAGTTGCGATAAACTGTATAAATCAAACTGGGGAAGTATTTATGATGATATCATAAACATTTAATTTACTTTATATTCGTATTAAGATAATATCAAACGGAATATGTATAATCTTGTTTTAATCAGAGGGCCGCATGCTCCAATCAAACATGGAAAAGTATTTGTTAGACCTGCAAATAATTGTGTTGGGTCTGGATGTTATTACTATTACGCTAGGCAGTCTTAAAGTAATACAGGGCCCTGTCCAATAAATATAATAAAGTTTATAAATGCCCATGCCATTAAATGTAACTACAAATAATAAAAAAATATCAAAAGAAATTCTAAAAAATGCCTCTTCCTTTTAATGACAATAGTACATATTTTACAAATATGTCAATTTAATTTGAATAAAATAATTTTTCTGAGTAATTTGTAAACTACACTGTCATAATAAAACTGTAATTTAAAATAAATATTTAGAAATTTTAAATGTAAATCGTAATAACAAATCGTTTACAGTAACTTTTATTAGATATGTATGATATATACGTATTTGATTTTATTGTTTGTCTGCTGATAGGGTCTGCGTGTAAATGTTAGTTGTTTGCGTGTAGTGTTTACAATAAATTGAGCATAGTTCTTGCGTCTCTTGAAATGTACTTAATATATTATCCCTATCTGTAAATTCAGTTTCTGGCGAGGAGGCCTCTGGGTGCGTCCACTCTCTTAGCTATTTCTGCAAATCTAAAACTGTTATTCTACAAACCATTCTAATGGAATCTTAAACTGTATACTTCTGTAGCTATACTGGTTCTCTACACCCTGCAGACTATCCCAGTACAGGCACTGCTATGTGGCGCCAGGAATAGGTAAAATTGTGGCACCTACCTAGACGGTCACTTGGGCAGAAACGAAGTCCTACCACCAAGAAAACGATTATCTTAGCTTTTTTGTATGGTATGTAAAAATGACGCGAACTTTGGCCTATTATTTACTTAAAATATTTATGTAAAAAAATCTAACACAATACGTAATACTCACAGTTGTTCGAGGTGTATCATACCCTGGAACACATCGGAGTCGATATGCTGGATACGATTACGATATAAGTAAAGGTATTTAAGGCGCCGGAGGCCATGAAAGGCTCCGGAACGCAGCTCCCTGAGCTGATTGTCGTTGAGTAGCAAGGAGCGCAAACGGTGCAGGTGGGTAAACACCCCTGGCGCTATGTCGAAGATCTTGTTGAAGCGGACGTCTCTGTAAAGAAAAACAAATGACTGTTGTAGAAATTTAAATAAAGCCAGCGGTAGCCTTATACTAATTAGAAATAAAAATATTTTTAGTTAAAATTCCGTTGTGCTTGTATTCGTAATTATTTTCCTCCTAAACGGTTTGATCGATTTTAATGAATTTTTTATGGGATACTCATGGTGTTACATAAATGGTTCTTAGCTATAGTTGGACCAGTAGGAGGTCCAAAAAGCAGCGATGTGAACCTAAGGCGCTACTTTTAAAATAAAATAAAAAGGTTAATGTAACAATATTTGATAGTGGGCAAATGTTAGCAGAGGGAGTTCGCTCCGTGCCCAACGAGTGTTGATGCACTTGCGTACCCTGAAAAAAGGTTTTTTTTTTCTCAAACAAGTAAGTTTCTTCACGATGTTTTCCTTCACCACCAGCACGTATCAAAACTAACACGTAGTTTATTCTAAAAACTGGTTAATTTAAAAGTTTTTAAATAAAACCAAATAGATTCATTTTATACAAAACCGTGGAATAATATTTGTTTAAAAAAAGTTAAAATGAGTACTTCAATTATTCAAGTTGTTCATATTCTGCTTACTCAATCCCTAGTCAGAGCTTTTTTATTGTGTTAAGACGTTGATTAATTAACGTTTCTTTAGTATACGCCCCAAAGGGTTTTAATTTTATTTATTAATTCATTTGTTTATTTGAACAATGTTTGAAAACATTTGTTGGTTTCGTACGTTCGTGACCTACAGTCAACCTGATGACAAGTGGATTCTGTGGCCCATAGACATCTACATCTATTCTCTATCAAGAACTAAAATGCAGATGCATTGGCACCACTAAGGACTAAGATGGAATGCCTCGCTTCCAGTAAAAAGTTTGTCGAGTCTACTACTCTCACCATACACAAGCACAAGACAGGAGCATTATTCTATGCTATTCTGTGCGAGTTAATTTTGAACATGTATTTGTACATATGCATGCAGCAGTTGTACATATTAACTTGCATCTAACACATGACTTACAATTAGCAATTATAGGAGAGTAGTCATTCTATAACAACAAGAGTTTCTATAATTTGCCTATATGCGATTAACTTATTTTAAAATGGTAACAGTTTTAATGGTAGTTGAACGAAAAAAAAATTTAATAAATAAGAGATGTATAATAATTTTTGTAACAAAAATATAAGTTAAGTCTTACAAAAAGTTGTGACTTACTGATTTCCAAAAGAGTCGTTACATTTTTTTAATGAAAAGTGACAGCCTGTCACAACCTATGTCCAGTGTTGCTATATTTTTCATACATTCCTTGTATACGCGTGATATACGTGTTATTGAAGTGTTCTGTCCAAGTTTCATTCGAGTGCTATCAGTCTTAAATAAAGGATATGGGCGACTGAACAATTCATTCTCATCTATTATGCCATTGAAAATTTTATGTAGAAATTTCATATCAAGAAGAGATCTACGAGCTGCCAGTGATTTTATCCGAAAGTAATCGAATTTGTTTTTGTAGCACTCATTATAACTTGAAGCCTTAAAACGAAACAGGTGTTTAAAAAGGATCTTTTGAAAACGTTCGATTCTTTTAATGTGGTTAGTTTTAGTGGTAGACCACAGTTAACAACAATTTTCATGTTTGCTACAAACCAAGATTTTGTAGAATTGTTGTTACCCTATTGAAATCTTTAGACTGTCTCAGAATAAAGTCGAGCAATATGAAAGATGCTGTCTCTATAGAACTCATATGTCTATCAAATCTTTATTTGCCATCAAATATTACGCCCACATCTCGAATAGAATCGGTATATCGGTTAGAATTCAGTTTTTTACCTAAGATATTGTAAAAACCCTCATTAATGGAATTTTTTCCTGTGAAATTTATAAAACTACATTTGCTCGGCAGCATACGGTTTGTTCCACACCATTTAAATAGTATGTCAAGCTTTGTTTGCAGGTCTGTTACGTCGGATTCTTGTTTTAATAAGTTTAGCTATTTTTAAATCGTCTCCGAACAAATATAAAAGTAAAGTAAAGTAAAATTACAGCCTATATACGTCCCACTGCTGGGCACAGGCCTCCCTCATTTCTGAGAAGGTTTTAGGGCAAGGAAGTGTCCGCCGCACTGCCCCAATGCGTGTTGGCGAATTTCACATGTCTTCGAAATAATTTTTTTCTTATTCCTCAGACATGCAGGTTGCCTCACGATGTTTTCCTTCACCGCCGAGCACGTGGTAAATCAGCACTTAAAATTGCAATTAACAATTTCATTGGTGCCGGCGGGGATTGAACCCGGGGTACTCGCGTTCTGTTATAATTTACAGCAAGCGTTAACCATCTGAGCTACCACGGCTCCTTCAAAACAAATATACCTAAATAAATTTATTATATCATTAATGAACGAAACAAAGTATGAAGCCCACAAATTTGAGCCCTGCTGAACACCGCAAATAGCACTGAAAGAGTCCGGACACTCGTCACCAATCACTACTCGGCTAACGTACTAACGTTTCGGTTAGAAAGATAGAATTTACGCTAGCTTACAGATACATATAAGAAATGCCAAAAAGTCGAGTTTTTAACAAGTATCTTATAGTACACCTTATCAAATGCCCCGAAGTCAGTATTGATTACATCTACTAGTAGATTGTTAGAAACATAATTGAGCAAATTTGTATTAGTAGAGTTCTTATTCATAAAACCATGTTTACAGGGATATAGGTGTGGTGGTGATGGTGTCTTTAACATGATTGAATATGAGTGAGTGGACAAGTGATTTAAAAATCTGTAATACGGAAGAGAGGATTGATTATAGGTCGATAATTAGATACAAGTTCCTTTTTTAAATCTTTATAAATAGGTACTATTCGTGCTTCCTTACATTTATCGGGAAAACTCCCTTTCTTTATCACCATCAACATCGTTTTAATGGGATCTATTCTATTCATACCCGAATAAGAACTACTGAAATAAAGAACTATGTTTATTCAATATAGATTAATAGGTACTTATTGAAAGTAGTTTTTGCTTTTAATACTTGTTCGGAAAACTGTTGGACATTATTACACATTATTACGGTTTCCGTGACCTGGAAACCATTTATAGTGCATAACAGTGCAACTCTAATAAAACTACTATTATTCAAGCCCATATAAATTTAGAAATTAAACTTGCCGATAATTGCACTTCAAATATTCCCGCTAAAACACTATTAGCCTTAATGTTAGGTATCATGCGGGTTAGTTACTAATAGCACGCCATCATTAATTAGGCGCTCAAAGTTTCCAGGTTTACTAGCTACTAACAAGTAAACATTCGTGCGAATATCTGCGTCATCTGCATGTCGCCTATTGGCGGATAGGATAGGATATATTTATCCTTTCTGTAATAATATTATCTTACACATAGATAGTATAATAAGAGACTAACAATTAAATCCAATTACATTCAATAAAACTAATTTTATTTTACCCCTTTTAATTTAACATATTTTAAAATGCCGAAATTTCTCGTGCTCAACAGAGGTGATGCCCTGATTTGTATGATAACCCGGGCTACATTTAGCTTTTGATTATTTTTAGTAAATCAATGATTTTTAGCCCATCATGAATCTGACAGTCGAATACTTGGATTTATTTTAACTGAAGTCCGTAATTTTAATATCCGTAAAATTACCTAGTTTAATTAATTTCGACTGCTGCTTGTTATTAATGGGTATCAACTTTTATAGGGATAAGATAATTAAAATGTCAAAAAAAAATAATTTTAGTAATAAAATAGCGAAATAATGAGGAACACATGTGATAGAATTAAAGACTTTAATTTTGCTTAAAAGTTTTAATTCTTGTATTAAAGAAAAGAAAATTGTATTGTAAAGTTTGTGTACGATATTCGTATATTTCGTTTAATATTTTATTAACGATTTTTATAATGTGATTTTTCTAATTGTTTATATAAATTGTTTAATTTGTACTCTGTACGAAATACAATTGTTTTGTGATGTTGTTTTGGGAAAAAATTACGGGATAATATATGGAAATGTGATAGTGAAAATTATTGATTAGATTAAAATCATCTTTCTCCATACAATTATCCAAGAAAATTATTATTGCTATCGTGCATTTCACATGCATCGGATACGCTTCCAAACTTTATTCAAAAAATAGTGTTTGTCGTCTACAAGGGACTACTCTTGTTCATCCCATGCAGGTTTCGAGCCTCGGGGTGTTCCCCATTACCCGGGTAATCCTCACAGCCCATTTCTATGGGCCGGTCCTGGGAGCCGTACATTGTACGACATTGTAGGCAATCTGCTTTGGCGTATTGCGGTAGGTGCTTCCGGAGGATCAGCAGTCTCGAAGCACCTGACAGGGAGTCGACGGAGGGCCAATCCTGCCGACAGGTGTGCGCTCCTGATAGCAGCACTCCGGGCCTCCAGTGCTCCTCCCTGGCTCTAGGTTAAGGACTGGTGGATTCCTAGGCAGAAGTTGGCGTGTCTCGCGCCTCTGGGAAGGGATCTGCCGAAGGGTCAGCAACCTCCAGGTCCCGCGGAGACGCATCTCGACGAGGAGCCGAAGTCACCAACGGGCGCGCGCTCTCCTAGCAGCACGCCGGGCCTTCGGAGTTCGCTTCCCAGCTTAGTAGGTTATACGCAGCGTTGGGTATGTAACTTCCCGGGAGGGGGAGGGGGTGTCCTCAAGGCTTGACGCAAGCCGAGTTGGCCCCATAGCACGTGCACCCACTGCGAAGCGACGCGCTGTACTTCTCCCACCCGGGCGGGAACCAACGACCGGAGGTCGTGACCGGCTGCTAGCGCAACTCATTTTAAAAAAATGGTCGCTGTTGTCATCTGCATGGGCTTTCCGCCCAGCAGGTATCGGGCCTCGGGGTATACCATCTTTACCCGGACATTCCTCACGGCATACTACAGTTTGCCGGTCCTGAGCGCCTTGATGATAAAAGGCGTTTAATATGTAAGTAGCGCTGTCAAGTCAAAAAGGGAGGTTGTCTCAATATTTGTGTTTTACACAAATATTATGTCTAAGTTGGCCTTTCTGCGGCATTGTGGAATTTACTCAACTCCTTAATCTATATAGGGAGGAGTTCTCTTGGATAGGGTCACCCGTCCGGGGGCCGTGAGTGCAACGGCGCGAAGCCGTTGAGGTGTTCATGTGACCCGCTGTCGGCGCGGTCGAACATACCGCGCGCCAGCTGGACCACGAATTCTTGCAGGCTCTTAATCTTTAGGTTGGCCGCTATGACGTCATTCCGGACGTAGCGACCCGCACCGACTATGGTTCGTAATGACAAGTGCTGCTGGGCCTGTAGTCGCCGCTTCTGTTGATCGATCAGGAGCGCATACCAGGCCGGAGCAGCGTATGTTAGCTGAGGTCTTATATACATTTTGTAGATGGTCAACTTTGTCGGTAACTTGGATGCCAGGACAGGACGGAGCATCGCCCGCGCACATCGAACTTTGCGGACAACAAAGTCGACGCGTGCAGTCATGCGCAACATCCTGTCAATCCGACGTCCAAGGTAGGTCACGGCCTTCTCATATGCGATCTCCTGGCCTCTGAGGGTTAGCGGTGGTGGTAGATTTCTATAGCGGCGAGTGAATAGAGCGGTCGTCTTGCTAACATTGACGGCCATCCTCCACTCATCCAATCATGGTGGCAACAGGTCCAGCAGACGTTGCATCGTGGCAGTGGAGATATGGGCTCTTCTGGACGAGGTGAAGTAGGCGCTGTCATCCGCAAAAAGCGCCAGCTCGACGTCGTCCTCCCATTCGTGCAGATGCCCTGCCAGGGTAGGGATGTCATTGGTGTAAGCCGCGTACAGGACTGGAGACAGACAGCTACCCTGTGGCACACCAGCTGTTATGGGTTTTATTGCGGACTCGGCGTCCTCTGCACAGACGTAGAACTTCCTGTCTACGAGGGACACTGGTCTGATCGTCTAACTTGTAGAGTAATCCTGTGTGCCACACCTGTCGAACGCCTTCTCGATGTCGAGAAAGACGCCTACACACTTTGTGTGCCAACAATGTGCGGCCGCGGTTGTGCTCGGCCGCAAGCAGGTGCAGCACTCTGGTCAGCTGTGTTGGTGTTGAGTGGTCCCTCCTGAATCCATGCTGCTCCGCCCGTAGTTGGATGCACGGGCGGAGACGTCTGAGCAGTATTCTTTCAAACAATTTAACTATATGCGGTAGCAGCGTGATCGGCCTGTAGCTGGCAGCTCTACGCCTGTCCTTCCAGGGTTTCGGCAAGACGATGATTTTGTCTTTCTTCCAGTCCTCCGGGAAGTGGGATGTCCGCAATATGTCATTGTAGAGTCGACCTATCTCTACAAGGACTCTATTGGGCAGCTGTCGTAGTGCAGCGTTGGTAATCCCATCGTGCCCCGGCGCCTTCCTCGGTTGCAGGCGGGTTGCTGACCTCCGCAGTTCAGCGGGGGAGATGAACCACTCTCCTGCAAGCGGTGGCGCGGGCGACGACAGGAACTCCTGCACGCGGCTCTCCTTCCGGGTGTGGTTTTACATGAACTCCGCACTTGCTGGGTTCGACATAAACTGCTCCTCGAAGTGCTCAGCTAGAATATCCGCTCTGCCCTTGGCATCATAACGTTGTTCGCCCGCGTTGTTGGTCAGCGGGCAAACAGGTGGTCGGGTTTTCGTTAACTGCCGGTTCAATGTGTAGAGCGACGCTTGATGTTCGTCAGCCTTCGAAATGCGCCGCTCCCAGGCCTCTCCTCTGTGGGCCTGTATTGCAACCGACAGTTCGTCCGTTAAGGTGTTAAGTTTCGTTTTTATTCTGGGGCAGCGAGTGCGCGCCCAGAGCTTTCTCAGTGCTCTTTTGTGTCTCAGCTGCACGCGTATGTTTAGCGGCAGCTCTTCCTTTCTTCCAGAGAGAGGGACGATCGTAGAGGCCACGTTGAGGGCCTCCTGGATGCTCCTGGTTATTCTGGTAGCAGCAGCCTCTACGTCGTCCGCTGAATGGATTGGTGCGTGGGCTGGAGGTCTCTCCTGCAGGTGTTGGTGGTAGAGCCTCCAGTCGATCTTGGTCTTAACGGCTCTGAGCGGCGAAGTCACTGCCTTAGTGCCAAGGGTAATCAGAATCGGGAGGTGCTGTGTATTTCAGTCGTACAACACCTCTACTACTACCGGGTAGTTGACGTTACTAGTGAACACGATGTCCAATACATCTGGACGCTTCCTAGTGTCAGTAGGGCTGTGCGTCGGTTCCTCGGGACCTAGAACGTCATAGTTCTGGCTCTCTGCATCATCGTATAGTTCACGACCCGGCGAGTTGATCAGTCTTGATCCCCACACCGGGTGTTTGGCGTTCAGGTCCCCGGCGATGATGGTGGGTGTCGTACCTTCCATAACCGTCCGGATGTCTGAGGAGTAGAATGGAGTCCCTGGCAGGCGGCATGCTGCAAAAATCCTTAGTTCCTCACCCGCCGCCTCCATTTTTATGCCGATTGAACGCATCGTCTGGAAGTCTAGGTAGGTCCAGTTCTTGGTAGACGATGTCTCTCCTCACCAGAATCGCTGTCCCTCTGTAAGCGATCCCTTGAGGATTGACCTCGTCCCTCCTGTAGATCGTATAGTTTGGCAGCTTAAGATGCGTTGATGGTCTTATTTTGGTTTCACCCAGCAAGATCACCTGGATGTCCTGCTGTTGGGCGACCGTGCGGAGTTCATGGATCCTTTGTCATGTGCACAAGTGTGACGTTTAAAAGTTGTGATTATACCAACCATATCCTATTCTTTGCCTTTGCATATTTAAGTAGAGATTAATTTAAAAAGCGGCGCAGCTATTACCTTAGATCTAGGTAATAGGTCTAGCAAACTGAAAATGATTTAGGTGAAAGGAACTTGACCTTACCCGAAGTCTGATTTTATGATAATATGATAATATGGTGGTTTATGTATCAATCACTATTAAACGGAAATTTCTTATTCCTGAAGTGCCAGAAATGATATCTAAAAATAAAAAGTATATACGATAAAAATCTATAATATTTCAAGTTTCAATAAACACGTATTTGCTAATGTGAACGCTTTTTATCCTCATAAATATATCAAGTCAATAAAAATAGAATAAGGAAAAAGTTGACAGTCTTCTTGGAACTATTATACATTGGATCAATATATTATATATTTATATACATAACAATCTTTCTTTCTTTCTTTTTAGTAAAACGTATGGTGGGGCAGTTATCCAGCCTTACTTGTAGGCTATACAAATACTTGTTCTGTGTGGGATTCGAACCCGCGGCCCTTAAGCGCTGTAACTCATTGCTAAGACACTGCGCCTTTGCCGTCGAATCGTTTCGTCTCCTTTTAATCATTCTTGCCCACTAAATAATAATAAATGATAGCAAATCTAAATTTTATAAATGATAGGAAATCTAAATTTTATGTTACTTATAGCGTTTTGTTAAATGCCCCTTACTCTTCACTAGGTGGACTGACGACCTGTTATGACAAGTTTTGTGCCATTACTTAGGAGGGTAGGGCTATGTTCAGCAGTGGACTTGTGATGAGATGTAACGATGATAATGAAACAATAATGATTAATCATAAATTGCATTGTCCTTTTGACATAAACTTCCCCGGTTAATCATTTAATTTCCATATCATCTTTAACATCAATATATTATCATTAATTTACTTATGATATTAATTAATTTAAAACAATCAGCAACTTTTCTGATTCGTCGTATGACAAATTTTGTAACCATGTTGGAATTACATTTTTTTTAAATCTGCCATTTTTAATGGTTACATAATAATTGCAAATACACTGTAATAGTGGAGACGAACAGTCCACTATTAACAGACTCCGAGTGGTTTTCTTTAAGGTGGAGAAATGAAACTACTGTTTATGTTTATGAATGTACTGTCGAATGGGATTCGGAATAGAATCTCTTTTGCATCAACCTTGCCTATATTTATATGGCTGGCTCACTATTGATTTGCCAATGGTAACAATTAATATTTTGCCTAGCCAATTATATTGCTTATTTTATGACCAATGAAAACTTATTTAAAATATACAATTATCTACGTTTCGTTTCCCGGCGTGAGACTTGTTTGTTGTTCACGAAGCTACGTCGCTGGACCGGGCTATATAAGACATGCAGATCGGTGCGCACGCGTAGTCGGCGGGCGGCGGCGGTGTGGAATACAGCTCCGGAACAGCAAGAGGAAACGAACTGCGGCGTTGAAGAAACGGCTCACCATTGGTCGACGGATACGTGACGATAGCGGCGTGTGAAGTCGGTGTGGCGCTGAATGATATTTGCGGCTGCTTCTTGTTTCTTTATAAGAACGTCAAATTATCTATATACAGTCCGCAGTATCTCAGTAGCCAAGAATAATTAGGAAATAAAATGTTTTTTTTATTTATTCTCGCCTTCCGCGTTATGGTAGCAGCGGAGTATATCTTATTTATTCCCGTTTAGGTTTGATTAATCTGGCTGCTACATCACTCTCCCCCCAGCGAAAGCGTACCGGAGGCTTGACGACTCGCCCGTATTTCGTAGTTTTTAAAATAGGTTTCAACTGGGTTGATGTAGATGATGAATTTTCAAGCTTCCTCGCTGGTGGTTTTGATGATGATGATGAATCCTCTGCAGTATCCTCGTTAATAATATAGGCAGGCTTTAGTCGGTCGATCGATATAATCGTAGATTTCCTTCCGGGTATTTGTAGTTTAAAAGTCTTGCTATTTCTCTCTAATACTTTATACGGTCCATCGTAGGTAGGTTGAAATTGTTTTTTCATTGCGTCGTTTCTTACAAAAACTTGTTTGCATGTTTTCAAATCTTGGTGAATGAATACTGATTTATTATTTCTGTGTGATTGCATTTCGGTGCATTTCAACGATAAGGCTTTGTTAATTGATTCTCGAAGTTTAGTTACGAAATCGTAATCCATTTCTTGTTTGTTTGACGCTGCTGAACTGAAGAAGTCACACGGCAGCCTTATGCTGCAGCCGTAGGTTAGCTGAGCGGCGCTAAGACTAGTGTCTGCACGCGGTGTTGCTCGTAGTCCGAGTAGCACTGTAGGTAGCTCATCAATCCACTTTGTATGTTGAGATAAACGAGTTTTGAGTGCAGTCTTTAATGTACGATGCCATCGTTCGATTATTCCGTTTGACTGAGGATGGTATGCTGTTGTACGCGTCTTCTGTATTCCCATAGTTTGAAGAAGTTTGAGGAATAGGTTGCTTTCGAAATTCCTTCCTTGATCCGTTGTGATGGTTTTAGGTGATCCGAAACGAGTAATCCAATTTTCATAAATTATCTTCGCGACGGATTCGGCTGAAGTATCATCGGTAGGTATTGCTTCTGGCCATCTTGTTGTTCTGTCGATCATTGTTACGAGATAACGATGTCCTTGCGGTGAAGTAGGTAATGGTCCAACGATGTCAACGTGCAAGTGTTTGAATCTCTCCGTGGGTGGAAATGTAGCTAGACTACTTGATGTATGCCTTTGTACTTTGCATTTTTGGCATTGAATGCATTGCTTCGCCCAGTTGCCAACATCCGCTTGCATTGCAGGCCAAAAGAATTTTTCAGTGATGAGTTTTCTTGTTGTTCTAACACCTGGATGACTAATGTTGTGCAGTGTATTGAAGACTTCGCGACGACATTCTTCTGGTATGTATGGTCGCATGGTTGTCGTTGAGGCTTCACAGTATATTGGTAGATGCGTCATTGGCATTGTAACTTGCTTGATGGACAAGTTACCTTGCTTCGATAGATGTTTTATGTTGTCACTATCTCTGTCTTGTGCTGCGGCGATCTTATGATAGTCGATTGATGTAGGGCACGTTACACTGTCGATTGGTACGCGACTGAGTGCGTCGGCAACTATGTTGTCCTTTCCACTGATGTGACGTATGTCGGTCGTGAATTCACTTATGAAAATAAGTTGTCTTGCTCTTCGTGGTGTTTCCGATAGTGATGGTTTCTTTGGAAGTACATATGTTAATGGCTTGTGGTCGGTAAAAACGATCAGGTTTCGACCCTCGAACGTTTTTCTGAAGTGCTTGATAGCCATGTAAATAGCGAGTAGCTCTCGGTCGAATGTACTGTAGTTACGTTGAGTATCGGAGAACTTCTTCGAAAAATATCCAAGTGGTTGCCATTTCCCATTGCTGTATTGTTGGAGAACTGCTCCTGCTGAGAGATCGGATGCGTCGCTGAAGATAGCAAGGGTTGCTTCGTGTGATGGGTGAGCGAGTAAAGCTGCATTTTGGATCGCAATTTTACAAGCTTCAAATGCCTTCGTGGCTTCATCGTTCCATTCGATTGACGTTTTATCTTTTTTCTTCGTGTTGTGAAGGTAGGCGTGAAGTGGTGCTTGGATTTCAGCGGCTTTAGGTATGTGTTCTCTGTAAAAATTTATCATCCCAAGAAAACGCCTTAGCTCTTCGATAGTTTTAGGTTTTGCATAATCGATGATTGCTCTGACTTTTTCGGCAGGCGGTTTTATTCCTTCCTTGCTGACGGTGAAACCAAGAAATTGAACTTCTTGCTGTCCAAATATGCATTTCGAAGGGTTGATTGTGATTCCGTTGTCTTCTAATCGCTGTAGCACGGTGCGTAGATGGGTTTCGTGCGTTTCTCTATCAGGGCTTGCAACAAGGAGATCATCAATAAATGCGAAAACGAAATCCAGTCCATGAAGTACTTCGTGTATGAATCTTTGGAAAGTTTGACCTCCGTTCTTTAATCCTGGGATCATTCTTGGGAATTCGAATAATCCCATTGGGGTAATTATTGCTGTCTTCTCTATGTCTTCATCGCGGACTCTTATTTGTTGGTAAGCTCGGTTGAGATCGATGGTGGAGAATATAGTCTTGTCTGATAGTTGATGAGTGAAATCCCTGACTCGCGGTATTGGGTATCGGTCAGGAGTGGTAATAGAATTCAGTCTTCTGTAATCTCCACAAACTCGTAATTCTCCGTTCTTCTTCGGTACAATGTGAAGTGGTGATGACCAAGGGCTTTTGCTTGGACGGCATATTCCTTGCTCAATCATGTTTTCGAATTCCTTTCGAACTTGCTCGTATAGGTGTGGTGCGATTGGACGTGCACGACAATGAAGTGGTGGACCATTGGTGTCGATGAAATGCTCAACGTCGTTCTTCGGTGTTAATTTCATTGAAGTTATTCTTGTGATACCAGGGTATTCTTCGAGGATCTTGTGATACGGTTGTTGCACATCTATGCTTCTTATTGTGGGCAGATTGGTTGCTTGTACAAAAGACTGAGATGCAAGATTGGTTTTCCCGTCGATGATTCTTCTATTTTTGATGTCGACGACCAACTGGTGATGTTGAAGAAAATCAGCACCGATGATTGGTTTGCTGACTTTAGCGACGATAAATCTCCATTTGAATGGTCGGCGTAGATTAAAATCAAGTTCCATTGTTTTTTCTCCATATGTAGGAATAACCGTATTGTTTGCTGCATAGAGTTGAAAATCTAGTGGCTTCAACTTCTGTCCTTGCTTCGGCGGTAACACTGAGATATTTGCTCCGGTGTCGATAAGGAAAGTGAGCTTGCTTTTTTTATCGGTGACGAAAAGACGGTAGGACTTTGCTGTTACGCTGGATCCCGTCGCATCGAGCGTACTAGTTAGTTTTCCGTATTCGTATTTTCATTTTTGAATGTACACGGTGCTGTGCATTTTCTTGCCTCGACCCCGAAACGTCGATGATAGTAGCAGTAAGGGGATCTTGATGTTGAGCTTATTCGACTTCTACTTGCAGAGCGGTTGCGACGAAAAGGTGATCTTCGGTGTTGCTGATTGCGCTGGTTGTACTGTTGCTGGTAAAAGGTATGATGCTGGGAAGCTTTGAGCGCGGCGACTTCGAATGATAGCTTCCGAATTTCTTCGAGAAGAAACTGGGTATCATT